AAAGATAATGGATACATGCATCGTTTAAACCACATCTTTTAACCTACATAGCAGCACTCTGCCAAAAGTAAAAATATGGCATTTTTCCTTTAAATCTTTCTTCTTCTTTTTTTTTAAATAAAAAATGCTTTACTTTAAATGTTTTACTGGCCATGGCAATTATCGCAGCATCTTCTTAAACATGTGATGTTCTGAAGAGCTGCTGCTTCTAATAACCTTGTAGCTATACTGCAAATTACTTTGCTGTTACACTATCTTTCCCCTCGGTCTTTCATTTGCATGCCTTTAAATGGAAATTAGGCTGATATTGGAACCTGCACAATGTACACTCACCAAACAGTAACGCACCAAAATCTATTACACGGATGTGTGTGATATGTTTATGCTAATTTGATGTCATCTGATCATAGACTAGTATAGAAGAGGCTTGTTGATGTAGAGGTGCTGCATTCAGTATTCAGTGAAGCATGGAAGTACCTCCAAACACACGCATCCAGAAAAACACACATTGATGCATGCACACCAGCTCCTTTATTTTGCCTTGGCCCTCCTGGGACTGGAAGTGATGATGATCTGCAGTAATTGAGAAAGACGTATGTTGAATGCGGAAGGAGAGAGGAGGTACTGGAGGGTGGAGGAAAGTGTAAACTGCTGATGCAGATTTTGTACCAAAATGCCGCTTGGTACCTTTAATTGACAGCCACTCAGTCTCTCAAGGGTTAATAGACACATGAAAACCTGTGACTTGTATCACTCCAATCCTTTTTTCCACTCTGCCTCCAGCAACTAAAGACAGGAAAACATTGCAGGAGTAATTATAAAAAGTAATCTCTGCAGAGTTTGTAAAGAATAGATACATGTTAAGTTAAAGGCAATGTGCAACTCGATAAAAAAGCTGAAATTCTTGACGTAAGTAATACAGCACTAAAAGTGTATTTTGCCATTTATTTTGTGTATGTGTGTATATTGGTGCATATGTAGATGTATACGTGAGTGTGTGTGATAGCCCACTCAGGGGAATGTGTTTTATATGCTAATTTTGTTAATGTGTATAAGCTGCTCCAGCCCATTCTCATTAGGTTTTCATTAGTCTCTTTTATGGAAATGCACAGTGACTATACTGCAGAGCATCGCCTGCACCGGCCTGGCTGCCTGACAGCACGGAGCTGTTTCCTCACACTAACACCTTGGCCCGTCTGTCTCACTGAGCACAGAGACAGATAAATCGATTGGTAGAAATGTTATCAAAAAAGTTTGTAAGTCAGTTTGGTGTTGAGATTTAATCTTGTTTTTCTTAACACGAATGAACAAAGATAAAGTGCAGTGAGATAAAAGAGAAAGTTAAGCAGCTGACGTCTTTTTTTTTTTCTTATTTTCAACAGCTACCACCTTTTTAAACCAGATTGATCACTCTACTTTATTGTTATTGATCAACCAACATGTCCGCAACAGCAGATACATAAAGATCCTTTAGTGATACAGAACAGTAAAGCCACATAGGCCTTAACCCTTACAGAAATACTTCAATATTTTGAAAATGCCTTTGATTTTCTTTCTTTTTTATTTTTTACTGAGGGATCTGAAGATCAATATCAATTTCATCTCTGTGCGTTCAATACAGAGGTACTCCAGACATGTTTAGACCAGTCTAGAAAATAAACTTAAAGCCAGAGGAAACAGCTAGCATAGCTTGCCTTCCAACAAACCCCAAATATGTACACACGAAATGTTGCAGTTAGTTTCCACATTGGAGCCGTTTATCACCCAACAACAGGGTCCAGTGACTACACAGCATCCCAGTACAAGGTCTGTACTCTTCCTGATGTTGCTGCCTTTCCAGAGTTTTGTAATAAACCCCAGCTCTATTTTGAATAGGGGTTAGCTTGTTAGCTAAAACATCATAAATAAGAATGTTTTAAGTTGATTGCTTGTAGGTATATATTTAAGAGCTGCACAATTAATTGAAATATTATCGAAATGGCCCAAGTGCTGCAGAGATGCCCTGGCCTACAAATATTGACTCCGGTATAGGGATAGGTTTTGAAATTGGTGTGGTGATGGATCTTCTCACTCTGTCTTCTCATTTACTTTTAGCATTTCAGACACACACACACACAGACTGACCCAATGTGGGTGCTACAAATGTAGTCCAAAATGTCCAATAAAATGAGCTTAAATCACAAACTTTGTTGCACAAAGATAAAACGTGAAGGGATGATACATCCTTGCACTGTGCTGCATCTTTTAATAATATGGTTGTGTTTTACTTAAAAAATAATAATAATAATAATTCCTGAGACACTGTTGGCTTGAGTTTGATGAAACTGTGGGTGATATGACGTTTTAGCACTGTGCTCTCATGATTAAAATATCAACACTGACTGGCCTGAAGGATGCCTTCATATCATTAAAAGTCCAACTTTGCAACATCTTCCTTGTTATACCATACAGTATGTGTGACTGAAACAACACACAGACATTTACTGTAGCTGCCTTTGCACTGATCATCTAAGATGTAACACTACAGTCCCAAACTGCTACATCATCCAGTTTTAATAAAACCTTTAGAGATGACCAATTTGCAGGATTACCTGGATCGCTCAGGAGAGACAAGATGTTCACTGATGGATTGTTGGGTGAAGTTTACTTGTTGTTTTTGGTAATTAACATTGCAGCTATAAATTTGAGGGGTGTGGTACATGCCACTGGGATGAGAGTGAAGGCAGCAGGAGGGGTGGCAGTAATCCTGGAGCATTGTTGATGATAAAAGTAAGGTGTGACTCTGCTTTCAGGCCTCTCTCTCTCGCATATCCTCTTTCCTTCAAGTGAAGCAGTGTCCCGTGAAATTGGGATCTAAATTACGAGGCCGGTGTGCTCACTGTGAGGGGTTTTAAAAACGACCCGCTCGGCTGCTAAGGACATCGGCTGGACCACAACAGTCAGCAGCAGACGATCCACAGTTCCTGACTTTGGTTCGAGACCAGTCCACTGTCGATAAACAGAGAGAATGTTTCCCTTTATCGCCTTGCAGAGGATGACTCAGTTCTATCAGCTTCATCGCTGTCATCATTATCAGCTCAGGCCCATGACAGAGATGGTGACGATTTTGGAGTTAGAGTTATAAATCAGGGCTGTTTCCCCTGTTTGTCTGCAGCTTGCTCTCGCCTCCTCTCTCCAATAAAAGGTTGTCTTTATTTGAATAATAAGGCTCTTATCTCAGTGAATTACTATTCCGCTGGCCACTGCGTTCTCTCTCTATCACTCTGTCTCACTCTTCCGCTCTCCTCCTCTCCACTTTCTCTCCATCATACAACCCCCCCCCCCCCTTTATCTTCCGTCCTGGCTCTCACCTCTCCTTGTCCCCCTTTTCCCTCCACGGAGAGATATGGATTCTTAAACATGGCCATTTTGTCTTCTTACTTTTTCCATCATACTGATGAGTTCACACTACGAATGTCATCAGTTGTGTCGCTGGAGAGCTGTTTACATCTTGCTTGGATGGGTCCAGCTCTCCAATTGTGAGCCATTTCCTAAATATTCCCTGATATTAAAATTCCCAGAAGTACTAGTAAAGCTGAGAGCTCAGAAAAATCTGGCAGGTTGTAAACAAGCCAACAGGTAAATAAAAAAACAAAGGGGGATTTTAAAATGATTAACCAAACTGTCCGTTGTAAACATCCAGGAAACTTGATAGACCAACGTCCTGGCTAAACTTGGTGTAGTTGTGTGTCTATGCAGTGGGGGGTAATTAGCAACTCGCATTGGTTTTACTTCCAAATAGAGGGGTGTTGATAATGTATACAACCTGTGTGACGATCTCACTGCTTGTGTTTGTTGTCCCGTTGGACCTTTTTAGTGAAGTTGACATTTTCTGAGATGTTTGGTGAGTTATCAAAACTGAAAGAACCAATGATATGAACTATGAAAATCCAGCTCGTAATCATTTGTTTCCCTTGAGCACTTCCTCTATTCTCTATACTGTACCTGTAAAGCTGTGCAATAATACAGAATAATGAATATTGTCAGGTCATGGGTAAACTGAAGATTAAGCATCGATGTGATTAATTCCAGTATGAGTGCCCGTATGGTTAAGAAATACATGCTTTGGGTGCTTTTGGGGTGCTTTTTTATTTTTTGTTTTTTCATTAGAACTTCATCATAAATCCTAACCAAGGCATGCAAGGCTTCATAGATCTACAGTGAACATGTGGACAAATTCATCATTGTGATGAGGGAAAAAAATGATGGGAACCAAATATCCAGATTGAAAACTGAAGGGGTTGTGCTTTCAATATTCCTTTTCTTGTGCTCTTGTTGCAATTTTAAAACACAGATCTGAAAGCATCAGCAGGTGTTTTTATGCCTGAAGGAGCCTGTCAGTGCTGTCACAGCTTTGAAAGGACTAATATGGGTCATCAGTTACAGTAAAATGTGCATGTACTGATTTTGCTCCGCCTGTTTGTCCCAGATGGAGATATGCCCTCCCATATGTTGGAACCCGCCCAAATGTTGTGCGCACAAATACCATATTGAAGGGGCTAGCGTTACAGCTCGGGCTTATCCGATTGGTTGATCTGTTGGAGGGGTAACTGGTAGAAAAAGCCATTTGTCAGCAGAATCTGCCACTCAGGTCGAAGCCAACAAGATGTGGACAAAACTCAATTTCAGCATTAATGGAATAATACCACGGTTAATGTGCCGGCTACTGGAGCAGAACACAAGGTCAACCCAGGGTCAGACCTCGGGATGCTGGGTGGCAGACCACGTGGGCATCTTGATTCACAGTCACGGTTAATTCAGATTTCCACCAGAGTGATGTTGAATTAAAAGATAATTGAATTGTCCAGCGGTTCTGTAATCTTCTCCTTGCATGTGTGTACTACCTGCCTTCGACTGTCAAAGATACCACGATTGCGTATAATTGACTGCTTTTGTCCTTTGCTCATTAAACTTGTTTCAGGCGATACTGGGGTAATAATGTGTATTTCCTCTCTTTCCAGGGGTACTTCTTGCTGTTTGAGTCCATGTTGGATTCTGTCCTGTACGCCAGAGACCTCTACCTGGCTGACACTGGATCAGGTAAGTCACATATTCTCCTCACCATCAAATTTAAGGTAGCACAAAGAATTGTTATATCGGAATCTGAGTTGCCAGTCATCAGAACTGGCTTTAGACTGCACAGAAAATAAATCCTCTTCAGGCATTTAATTTCTCCATAATGTGGTTTGTGAATTAATGCTTAATTGTAAGAGTGATGAAATGATACAATCAAAAATACAGTCATGGCAAAGTAGGGGTTGCCTCAGTGTAGTTGCTCTGCTATATTAACACTACAGCCAAACGTACCTTCCACCATTTGGATTGTGAACATTTTCTATACAGTGAGTCAAACTGCCTTTAGTGTGTTCTAAAACCCCAAAAGGAAAGGTGTCTAACTTTAGTTATAAGCCCCAAAAAACAACTTAAAATAATATTTTTTGTGTGTTATTACTAAGTTTCCTTTGCATTGACTAGTTGGAGTGGGGCAGTGTGATACTGAGGTCAGATTTACTCTAAATTCCATCTGTCAGCAGGGAGAAATTGTTCATGTCAGCCCCCTGTGGTTATGACAAGTAACACGTGTGGAAATGATTGGAGTGGTTTTCCTGTGTTTCCCACTGGGTGTGTCAAATTATAAACATGTCAATACAGCAGCAAACATTGCAGTACTTCCTACAATATGTACAATCCAAGTTTGATACAATCAAATGCACATATGAAGAGTCTGACATT